CAGGGCCAAGAGTGGAATGACAGCCCCAGGGTGTGCCAAGAGTGTTCAGGAACTGGGATGACAGGGCCACGGAGTGGAATGACAGCCCCAGGGTGTGCCAGGAGTGTTCAGGAACTGGGATGACAGGGCCACGGAGTGGAATGACAGCCCCAGGGTGGAGCCGGAGTGTTCAGGAACTGGGATGACAGGCCACGGAGTGGAATGAAAGCCCCAGGGTGGAGCAGGAGTATTCAGGAATTGGAATGACAGGGCATGGAGTGGAATGACAGCCCCAGGGTGGAGCGGGAGTATTCAGGAACTGGAATCACATGGCCACAGAGTGGAATGACAGGGCCAAAAGTGGAAGGATCAGCTGTTGACTGCTGTTCACTTTACATGGTTCAAATGTTATTGTGTTATAGTTTATTAAATATTTAATTACACTTTTTGGTTCAGAATATTTTTTTCCCTGTTTTCCTCCTCTAAAAACTAGGTGCGTCTTATGGTCCGGTGCGTCTTATGGTCCGAAAAATACGGTATCTAAATTATAACAATCATTCCACACATTAAGCCAGCATAACAACATACACAAAGAAAAACAGCTAGTCTTGATCATCATGTATTTCGTGTGCACATGTATAATAAGCTTGTCTGAATTTGCCTTCAGTAAGGGAGAAATGTAAATGAAACTGGTCCAAAATGGGACTACAAGGGTTTTAACTGGAGCACAGTGTATCAGACATTTTTTACCAGTACTGTACTAAGTGCACTAAGTCTGATTTGTTGTCTGGTACTAAGTGCTGCTACTGAACTTCAAAATTTAAGTGATTTAAGATCATGGCAGATGATCTAAGATCAACTGTTCTGCACACTCATGTTAAGTGAGGTGAGATGGGAGGGGACACATGTGGTAAGGCTTTTTTAGTTGTGGTCCCAAACACTGGAGTGTCAAGATCCAAAATACTCAGCTTGCCCCTTCACTTTTGGCCTTACAAAGAACTTTTTTATTCCAGAGGGCATTTGGTAATATATGAATTGAATTGATTCCTTGACATAGTGCTGATTTACTTTCTTTAGCCTGGTTTTTACTGATCTTTATCACTGATTTTATTTTTCTTGTGTTGCTGTTTATCGCTATTATGCTGCTGCTATGGGTTATGCTTCCACGGCATTTGTAATTTATATTTTATTTGTAATCTGCTTTAAGTACTATTTTTAGTGGAAAGCATAAAAATCTTCTAAATAAAAAAATCTATTTTTTCATGTACATAACTGTTTGATATTTTATTAACGTAGTATAAAATGAAACTGGTTTCTAAATGTTTGTTCTTTTTGTAACTCAAATGCAGCCGTTGAGTTACCCTGTTCACAAGGCCTTTGACATTTTCTTCAGCAGAGGAACCAGATCCATAAATGCATTCCTTCATTTACAGTTTCCTCCACTGGGACAGCTCATGTGCACAAGAGCACCCACAAACCATGAGAGCAGTGATCCTCAATATGGTACCCATTAATATGTTTCATGTTGCCCACTCGCTTTGTCTCTAGAAGAGTCCCAAAGCAAAAAGCCAATCCTGGCTTTCCTCCATCACACTGGAACAGGAAATGTTTCAGAAGACCCCAGGGAGGACTCACCTTAGAGTCTTCCGGAACACTTATTTGGAAACTGCTGCCTCCACCATAGTAAAGTGCTTAGCTTGGAACTTGACAACATTTTGTGATTGACCCCAATCCTCATGGCAGCCATTTCATGACTGGTACCACCTTCTACAGCTGTCATTCTGTGATGGCACCCACTCTTCCCCAAAATTCCAACAGTTTCCACAGGCTCAACAAGATTTATGGACACCTGCATTGTAGCATACTGTGAGTGTGGACTGAAATTAACTATACAAATTTCATTACCAAAAATGATTTACAAATGAATTTTGAAAGCAGGAACCCGTACTTTTGTAGAAATTCAATTATTCAGTGGCTGCAGAAACCACATCCACATTTTCAACAGCAAGAATTCACAGGTAATGGAATTCAGAGGGGGAAACACCTATAAGCCTACCTGGAAACAAATAGGTTATAAGCATAAAAGATTATTTAAGTACCTGATAATTGTCTAGATTCTTCCCTTCAAAGTGTACTTCTGTTACACAGTCCATAGGTATTATTTCAGGGTTGGGATTAAGAAATTGTGGGCATTCTTCCTCCTATAGAAACAGACATTTTATATACAATTAAATATCCATGACTATAAACCTCAACAGATTTTGGACAGTGGAATTATTTTGTTCTGCAGAGTTTTCATGAGTAGCACAGAGTGACAAATTTGACTGTAGCCTTTCAAATTAGACATGCTAAAAATTACTGCAGCATATGTCAAGCTATCATTTCCATTCTTGAAACCTCTGTCCTCCCCCTACCCATAATTATGCAATCCAAATGTTATATTTCATGTCCATACCAAGGGGGAGTATATTGCATGAAGTAGTTTACAAGAATACATGCTCATTTGAAGTTTACCATATTTTGTTTAATCACATCTTCTTTTAAGGATGGATCCTCGCAGCTATGATTATGCCAGTCCCACTCGCAATTCCATCTACTGCTTGCACAGGAAAAGCATCTGTATGGATAAACAAAAGTTAGCAAAGTTTTAGTTTGCAATCCCTTCTTTCTTCCTTATTATCACAATTTAATTTTGGAAGAAAAATTAACTTCAATACTTCCCGCCTCATTGCTGGCCAACCCACTCCTCCAGACTCCAGAAGGTAGGTACACAGTACTCACACACAGAGAAAAGTGTTTTTCCCCCCAAGGACTTAAAAGCCACATAGTAAATCTGAAATTCAGAAATCTGAAAGGTACCATGTCTTGACATGGCCATTCTATCATGGAAATGCCACCCAAGGCACAAGAAAGAAGTGTTGTCAAACTCTGACATGTTTGGTTGAGGCCTGGTATTTGATGCACTTACAGGTACTAGCAAATGTTTACAACGTACCAGACATCTTATGTTTTGGGCGAACCTTTATCAGTCAACAAAATAATTTGTTTGTTCAACAACTGACAAAGCAAAAATAGATGAGGTAGTTAAGAACTGTCTAATTCCTCAGAAAGCCAAACTACAAGAAAAAGAGACAAAGTAAACAGTATAACTTGTCAGCCTGGTGAATGGGCCAGCAAGGCTAAAGGCTTGTGAAAAGTAGGGAAGTGATTCCACAGGAGCCAAACTCCATCAAGCACTTCCACAACACATACTACATACTACACATGCTTTCACTAGGGTTGCCAGGTCCTCTCAGCAACCAGCAGGGGGTGCAGGACTTACTGGGTGGTGGTGGGCGCTGGAAAGGACGTCAGTGCATTGTGGGCAAAGCTCTGAAATTTGGGCAAAATTCTATGTTTTAACCATAGAGTTTTACCCAAATACCAGAGCATTCCCAATGTCTTCCAGGTGTAGAGGGAGTGACATGTACACATTGGGATGCTGCTGGCTGATGTCTCCCTTCCCATTTTGGTGCCATTCCACCCACTGGTAGTGGCAGTTGGAAGCAGTTGCTTGGAATGGAAGCTGGAATTCTACCTTTCATATACATAAATAATGTAACCATAGAGTTTTACCCAAATACCAGAGCATTCCCAATGTCTTCCAGGTGTACAGGGAGTGACATGTACACATTGGGATGCTGCTGGCTGATGTCTCCCTTCCCATTTTGGTGCCATTCCCACCCACTGGTAGTGGCAGTTCGAAGCAGTTGCTTGGAATGGAAGCTGGAATTCTACCTTTCATATACATAAATAATGTACTTTCAACCCACTTTCGATGTACTTTAGTTATCGTTTTCAAGTGAATTTTGCTATTTCACACAGTAAAACCCAGTTGCAAAGTGCATTAAAAGTAGACTAAAAGTGCATTATTCAGCATGTGTGAAAGCATCATTTGTCTAGTCAATGATTTCATGACACACAACTAAACTGTAGTAAATAAGCAGTTTACACCTTTCCTGGAATCTGCTCGTGTTCACTCACAGGAAAGTCAGCCTTATATTTTGAGAGCTATGAGTGTATTCAATAGCATTCGCTAAGGTACTGTAATATTTGAATGCATTCAGCATGATATATACAGCGGAGAGAGGGAGTTAAGCAGCTACAAACTTACGGTTCATTTTCTGAAAGATTTATAGCTTCTCCACAGTCATAAAAAGGGTATGTACTTGATGCAAAAAATATACCATCACCAAAGGTCAGACGTAGTGGAACTAAGACATGGTCTATCAGGGGGGAAAAAAAAGATTGAGAATAAAAAGGTACAATTGCAATACCCCCCCCCCCCAATTTCAAGAATTTGTTGAACTCATGGATCAAAGCAACTTTATGTTCACTCTGAATGAAATTATGTTAACTCTTTAGTAACTGAAAGTACAAACATTAACTGGGAAGCGATAGAGGAAGTATGATAAACACTTTATTTCTGACTGTTCTGTTCCTGTTTGAGAGGAATAATTGTCCTGTTACTTAAAAATGCAAGCCAAAATAAACAATAAGATAAACAATAAAATAAAAAATAAAAAATAAAATGCATGGTCAGAAAAAAAAGTATTTTTCAAGTAATTATTTTTCAGACAGCATGTGCACCCTTTAACATTTATGAATTCTATACTATGAATAAAGTAGATGATGTCAGAGGTTACTGAAACAAGCAATATGTACTCAACATAATAAGTAAACTCTAGCATCTTGGAAAGTTAGTCTGTTGTACCTACTTTCTTCTTTTAATGGGTTTGGATTCTTTGGTGAACTAAAGACAGAGGTCTATATACAGAAACTGGGATTTCCCTCAATGAGGCTTCTGGCTATTCCTCTTATAGAAATCATCAAGCCCCTGTGACAACCTATTTTCACAAGCTATTGAGCAATTTCAAACTCAGCTTTCCTCTTAACAGCTTTTTGAAAGAGTGCTGACAGCTTAAATTTAAGCCCACTTTGTGAAGAATTCTATAGGAAATTCCAGGTTGTTTTTCACTTCAATCTTTACTCTGGGGTCAAATGCAAAATTGGATAGCCAAAAATAATAATAATAATGGTACAAGTTAATTCAGCACTCCAGTTTAAAACTGATATTTACTAACAGCATAAGATTATTTACATTTGATGGAACTCTTTGGAAGAAATAGGTGTGCCTGGGAGTCATGTAAGAATACACTTTGAACTAATGCCTCTTGCACTTAAAGCAGTCTAAAAGAGACACAGCATCATGGAAAAACAAAAAACAATGTGTGATCTTTTTACTTGCTAATAAAATACGAAGATTGCCGACGTGCTTAAAATGGGCTTATATAAACAGATTTGTGCAAAGTCTTCAGTAATTATGAATCAAGGGGACAAACGACTCTAACATCTATATCTTGGAAATGTAACAAAGGGGCATCTTTTAAGAAGGCTTGATACGGGACAGACAGCATATTCACTTCACTGACAAAATATATAAAAACGTCAATGTCACCTGTGTCATTCTTTGTTCTCTTCTGTTATTCATTTTACCAATCAGAGCCAAATAGTTATCCTTCAAACTTCTTCTCAAACTCTAAACCAACACACACAAAGTGGGCTGCAAAACAGAAGCTTGAGCCTCCCCTATCAGCTGATTCTACTTAATTAAACTAAGATACTAATAGTTGCTCATATGCTTATATGCAAGAGAGCTTTATGCGAAACCTTAGAGACCTGTGGACATGCCCTCTATGGATGAATTGCAACTGAACACGCTGGAACAGACAAGTTATGTTTGCATACTGGAAGAAAATCAGTAAATTTATCTACGGGCAACTGAATTAATAGTTAATCCAACCGAATCCAAATTTAATGTGCATAATGTAGTTAATTTCATTATTATAATATCCCTGCTACTACAGTGGCTACCAATCTGCTTCTGAACCCAATTCAAGGTACTGGTTTTGTCCTTTAAAGCCCTTGTTGTTGTTCAGTCACACAGTCGAGTCCGACTCTTCGCGACCCCATGGACCAGCTCCCGCCAGGCCCTCCTGTCTTCCGCTGTCCTCTGAAGTTGGCTCAATTTCATGTTCGTTGCGTCGATGACACTGTCCAACCATCTCATCCTTTGCCGTCCCCGTCTTCTTTGACCTTCAATCTTTCCCAGCATCAGGGTCTTCTCCAGTGAGTGCTCCCTTCTCATTTGGTGGCCAAAGTATTTGAACTTCAGTTTCATTATCTGGCCTTCCAGGGAACAGTCAGGGTTGATTTCTTTTAGGATTGACTGATTTGATCTTCTTGCAGTCCAAGGGACTCTCAAGAGTCTTCTCCAGCACCATAGTTCAAAAGAATCTATTCTTCGGCGCTCGGCCTTCCTTATAGTCCAACTCTCGCAGCCATACATAACTACTGGGAATACCATTGCTTTGACCATGCGGACTTTTGTTGGCAGGGTGATGTCTCTGCTTTTTATCATGCTGTTTAGGTTTGCCATCGCTTTCCTCCCAAGGAGTAGGCGTCTTTTAATTTCATGGCTGCTGTCACAGTCTGCGGTGATCTGGGATCCCAGGAACGTGAAGTCTGTCACCACTTCCACGACTTCCCCTTCTATTTGCCAAGGAGTGATGGGGCCGGATGCCATGATCTTAGTTTTTTTTATGTTGAGCTTCAAGCCCACTTTTGCGCTCTCCTCTTTTACCCTGAGCAAGAGGCTCTTTAGGTCCTCTTCACTTCTGCCATTCATCGGTCGTACTCTAAGTATATCAAGCAAAACAACTTGCCGGGTGAGATTGTGATCAAATTTCTCCGACGACATTATACAGGTTTCTCAAGAGACATGTGAGGTGGTCTGGTACTCCCATCTCTTTAAGGACCTGCCATAGTTTGTTGTGATCCACACAGTCAAAAGCTTTAGCATAGTCAATGAAGCAGAAGTAGATGTTTTTCTGGTACTTTCTTGCTTTCTCCATAATCCAACGAATGTTGGCAATTTGATCTCTAGTTCCTCTACCTCTTCGAAACCCAGCTTGTACTTCTGGCAGTTCTCTATCCATGTACTGTTGAAGCCTAGCTTGTAGGATCTTGAGCATGACCTTGCTAGCGTGTGATATGAGTGCAATTGTGCGATAGTTTGAACATTCCTTGGCATTGCCCTTCTTTGGGATTGGAATGTATACTGACCTTTTCCAATCCTGTGGCCACTGTTGCGTTTTCCAAATTTGCTGGCAAATGGAGTGCAGCACTTTAACAGCATCATCTTCTAAGACTTTGAATAGCTCAGCTGGGATACCATCACCTCCACTAGCAATGCTTTCTAAGGCCCATTTCACTTCACATTCCAGGATGTCTGGCTCGAGGTCAGTGATTATATTGTCGTGGTTGTCAAGGACATCGAGGTCTTTCTTGTATAGTTCTTCTGTGTATTCTTGCCATCTTTTCCTAATCTCTTCTGCTTCTGTTAGGTCTCTACCGTTTTTGTCCTTTATCATGGCCAGCTTTTTTGTCCTTTATCATGGCCCTACATGGCTGGAGATTGTTGTATCTGAAGAACTATCTTCTCTCCTGTACATTCCTGTCCAGAAACTAAGATCACAGGGAGATGCCCTTCTGACTATCCCACCAATTAAGAGGCTTGTTTGGTGGGTACATGAGAGAGCCTTTTCTGTGGCAGCTTCACAATTCTGGAACAACTTATCCAGGGAGGTGTGCCTGGTGCCCTCATTATTAAGCTTCAGGAGACAGCTGAAGACAGAATTTGATTAATTTAGCTTTTATTATTGGCAGTCCTAACTGGAGTTTTTAAAAATATTACTCTTTATGGGTTTTAAAATTATTATTATTATTGTGTTTTTATAATCATTTTATTTATATCGTAAGCTGCCTTGAGTTCCATAAGCGAGAGAGGCGGTTAATAGATGTTTTAAATAGATAAAATAAAAATCTACTTAACCTTTGCTAAGGTTATAAGTGTATACTAAGTGTATAATATAAGTGTATACTAAACATGAGGCACTACTGTTTCTTTACCTTGGCCTTTAGGTGTCGGAGGGATTACCTCTGGAGGATGACAGATAATAGCTTCATCCATTAACTCCGCCTGATGACTTGTTTCACCAAAGTGACACTGTAGCTGGTCATCTTCATTTAAATCTGGCATAGGGCTTAGAGTCAATTCTACCTGGAGAGACCAACAAATGTAAAAAGAGATGACTTGAAATCAAGAGACTGAAGGGTAGGCTCACTTACACAATGACAGTGCCAAAGGAGGTGCATGGTTTTAATGCAGTGCCAAAGGAGATGCATGGTGCTTTGTTCCACAGACATGTTCCACAGATGTAGTGCCAAAGGAGATGCACGGCGCTTTGTTCCACAGACATAACCTTGGCTCTTTTATTTTGAGAACTAACAATGTAGGTTGTATAGCCAGTGCTAATCTCCCTTGTTTTGACCAGCAATGTGAGTTGAAGACTGAACATCAGGATTCGGAACTGCCAGAACAGAGCTGCTGACAAATATAGACCTTCCTCATGACCCCACAGTATTATGAGAGTTGCCATGTTGGATGAACGCCTGGGGTAGGAAAAGAGCTAGGTTTACCACATCACCTGTAAATGTCAGACATTTGTCAGAAACCTCTTCCCCTAAGGATGGAATGCATGGTAAATACTTGGACAGTATCTTATTATCTCACCCTGAAAATTAGTTTGAAAAAATAATGCCTTTACTATGTTTCTGTGACGAACCCCCCTATTTCTGAGTATGTAGGGTTTGGTTCCTTTAACCTTTCTCAGGCTGGAGCAGTCTTATTTTCCACTGACGTTGTCTGCCAGCCTCTTTCAACCAGGAACCCACACAGTTCGTCCTGTCACAAATCAAGCCACATTGTCTCTGGGGCTTTTTATGAACACTGCCTTTTTATAGGATGAAGCTTACTGTTTAACTTTGTCAGATACTGTCAGACACTGAGGCACATGCAACTTGGAACAGTAAAACCAACTGAAGATTTTATTTACAAGGACAGGCAGAGAATATATGTACAAGGTGAAAAAATTGATGCTTGTGGATATGTAGTTCCAGATGGTATATTTCAGCTTTAGGTTAGTTCCTTTATAATCAGTCACTTCAGATGACACAGTACAAAACACCCTCTCTCTGATCTCAACCCTGGTGCTGTTCTAGATTGTTGACTCTCTTAGGGATTTCTCAGGTACTCTCCACCTTTGCTGTGCCTTGGTTTCTGGACCCCGGCTAGTCCACTAAACCATCCTGGCACACACTTCATCCACTAACTCCGACTCTCTCTCTCTTAGCAGGGTATAGCTCCTATGTGAGAGGCATGTGAATCTTTTGTTTAACCCAAAAGGAGTTTATTTTCCTTTCAAGACTCCGTAGATTTCACTGTAGTATTGAACTATATTTGGCTCTTCTCAGGTTCCCTTAATATGGAAATCCGTAGAGAAAGCTCATTTGCTCCTCAAACTCAGAGGTGTTCAACAAGAGGTGTTCACAGTCCCTGGCACAGTGCCAACTGACTAAAACCAACTGACTGTCTCAATTGCCAAACTCCAACTGTCAAGAGTTCCCCCCCATTAGAAACCCCCCCCCCAACAGTTCTGCATCAGAGTTACATCACCACTGCTAGTCAGTTTCTACCATTCTTTTTTCTCTGCAGGTTTTGTTTCCAGCCTAAGTGCAACAGCTATTGAGCACAGAATTTATTTAAACTTTTCCAGCATAATTAAAACATGTTAGCCACACAACTACAATGACCAGAGGACACAGCAGGAGTCACGAGTCAGGCTTGGAAAGAACGGAGAGGCTTGTTTTGAAGGGATAACAAAGTTTCCTCAAAATACCCATTCAGAGCTGGAGAGATGAAGCAACGCTTTGGCTGCCAGGCGACAGAAATAAGTTGGCTGACAAAAGAGTGATGTCTGGTTGCTTCCTAAGCCTTAGGAAGTCATGCCAGCCAAGCACTCAAGTGTTTGATGACTGCTCTGATGCAAGGCAACAAGCAGCCAGAAGAAGGGGGGGGGGGGGGGGAGACACGGACCACAATGGGTTCCTTGAATTGAATGAACACCCTGAGTTATCTGAATGTTCTGTTTTTGCAACTGCCCTTTATTTTGAGTTTGTATGTGTGTTTTTTTACTCCAAGCAGTCTTCTGCTATTGTGCATCTGTAAAGAACCGTGTGGCCCATTTTCCAAGCTGAGACAGTTTTGCTTTAGGAAATGCAACATGCCTGTGGTGAATATATGAACCACACTGAACAGCAAGCCACCAGACAGAGCACACTAGAACCAGAAGGTATAATATACCATCTTCTTTCCCCAAAAACAACAACAGCAACAAAAAATCCCTTCTTCTCTTTCCCAGACAGGCTTTTTTTTTCCAAAACAGAACACTTTCTTTATTTGAAAAAGAATATGCATCACACATTTACATGGCCATTGAACTTGTCTGGAAAATCAAATATTTTCTTGAAATATCTATATATCAAGGGCTCCTTCTGATTATATAGGAGGGGTCTTAGTATTTTGTCTGCTATGGTATGTATCTTAAAACTCAAAAATCTGGACTTCAAGTGATAAATGACTCTAATGTACTCATGTACATTTGCATGAATTTCTCACATCAAGACCTTATTTAATGAACAGGAGCTTCTAAATGCTTTTACCACATAACATGAAAGAAAAATCCTCTATAATTCTGGAGGCTTCACTGAGTTATTATTTTAATTATTCTCTTTCTTTCTTTTTCCTTTTGTAAGATGACTGCAACTACTAAGGCTATATTCCCTCCCTCCCACGTTTCCTCCTCCATCACAGCTCTCCCCCGGGGGGGGGGGTCCAGGATGTCCTAATCATAACAAGTGCAACTCATTCTAGATGGTGTTCCAGATCAAAACTCTACTTTGATCAGATTTCCTCAATAAAGAGGCATAAAGTTGCTGAACTGTTTTTACAGGATCTGAACAAGAATGTTGAGAATAATGTCCTCTTAAAACTTTGATATGGCAGGCTGGAGCGCCTATCAGTAAGTAAATCTGCATGCATGTATGTAGGCATCCCAATTTGCCATATGAATTCATTTCTATATAGTAAACTAGCCTGATACCCGTGCTTCACTACGGCATTTAAGTTCCGTAAATCCAGTTGTAATACTGATGATGTGAAATCTGAAATGTGACATTTGTTGTAGGAATTCTAACAGAGAAGACTGTAGTGTAAGAAATGAAGTGAGACATACATACTGTTTTTTTTTCTCTACTGAAGGCCACATTGGTGGTTCTGCCCTCAGGTGCTAGGATCACCAGGCTGCTTGATGAGCTCACTCTGGAGCAGGCCACATAGAACTGTCCATTTAAGAAGCAGTCATAATTTAAGAAGCAGGGGTCATGTTTCTTAGAAATTTCTTGGGGGGGGGGTTTGACGTCATGGTAGGAATGCACTCCCCTTATTTTGGGTTTCTTGGTGCAGGGATTTGGCCTGGATATTGAATTTGGGAGGAGGGCACACACACACACTTTTTAAAAAACAAAACAAAAATGCTTCTCATTTATGTCACATTTTAGAACTGGGACATAACTACATATTCAAAACACCATTTGAGCAATCAGATATTAAGCAAGTTCATATGAACCAGTTTTCTACAACCCACAATGTAAGAAGTTAAATAACCTAATAAAGGAAACCAGTTTTCTACAAATTCGAAGTATATTTCCATTGTGGGTGTGAGTGTGGCTAAGCTGGGCCAGCAACACCGCTAAGGTGATCCTGCTGGGGTGGCATCCCTAATGGATTACAGTCCCCTGGTCCTGCTCCTACCCCTGACAGACCCCCGCAGCAGCTGTAAGCATCCCACCTCCTCTCCTGATAGGCAGCTGCATGTCCAGTGTAGGTGGGGGAGGGGGAGGGGGAGGAGTATTAGAAGCCACTGTGGAGGCAGGGCTGGTAGGATCACTAAGACATTACTGCTGGGGCGGGCTCCTTTGTGGCTTTAAGCACCCTGCAACTGTTGCTGCACCTGACAGACAACTGCCTGATAGGTTTAGGAGATGGGGGGAGTGTGTTGGAAGCTATCAAAGAGGCTGGGCCAGCAGCATCGCTAAGGTGATCCTGCTGGGGTGGCATCCCTGATGGATTAAAGTACCCTGGTCCTGCTCCTACACCTGACGGACACCTGCCTGTCTGGTGTTGGGGGGGATTGTTTTTAAAGGCATCATGGAGGCTGGGCCAGCAGCAGGGCTAAGGCAATCCTGCTGAGCAAACCTTCCCAGCAGCTGTAAGCATCCCACCTCCTCTTCTACACCTGACAGGCAGCTGCCTGTCCAGTGTAAGAGGGGGAGGGGGAGGAGTATTAGAAGCCACTGTGGAGGCAGGGCTGGCAGGATAACTAAGGCGTTACTGTTGGGGTGGCCTCCCTTGTGGCTTTAAGCACCCTGCAACTGCTGCTGACCTGACAGACAACTGCTTGTTAGATGTAGGAGGTGGGGGGATTGTGTTGGAAGCCATCAAAGAGGCTGGGCCAGCAGCATTACCACTACAGGTGGTTGTTGGCCATTCCTGATTTCCTCAACTGTCATTAGCTCTGTGCAGTCTCCTGTAACTGTTTGTTTTTACCTCAGAACACTGAGCTCTGCAGCTGACCAATCAGGAAGTGGGGGATGCAAGGAGGCAGCAGCCTGGCAGCCACATATGAATCAATAGGGGAGCACATTTTACTCCTTTTGATCCCCCTTAGGGGTCAAATTTCCAAAAATCCTTTTTTAGTGAGTATCTACATTACGGTAGGAGTGCTCTCCCCAAATTTGGTGTCTCTAGGTCCAGGGGTTTGGCCTGGGCATTGATTTTATGGTGAGGGGGCTTTCTTTTATTTATATAAAAGTATGCCTACCCGTAACCAGTTATCTTGAAAAGAACGTTTGAATTCTGTGCAGAACTATGTGATTAACTCCTGATCCACTCCCAAGCCCAGTTCAAGGAGTTGGTTTTGACCTGTAAAGCCATGACCATATTTTTTTTGCCTGGGAATTAAAATCACACGGAGACGCCCTCCTGACTGTTCCATCAATCATAAGAACATAACATAAGAACATAAGAGACGCCAATGTTGGATCAGGCCAAAGGCCCATCCAGTCCAACACTCTGTGTCACACAGTGGCCAGAAATACCAGTGCCATCAGGAGGTCCAGCAGTGGGGCCAGGACATTAGAAGCCCTCCCACTGTTGACCCCCCCCAAGCACCAAGAAGACAGAGCATCACTTGCCCCAGAGCCCCTAGCTATACCTTGTGGCTAATAGCCACTGATGGACCTCTGCTCCATATGCTTATCTAATTCCCTTTTGAAGCCATCCATGCTTGTAGCACCCACCACTTCCTGTGGCAGTGAATTCCAAGTGTTAATCACTCTTTGGGTGAAGAAGGACGTCCTCACTGTATATTCATCAGTGATATGCTCTGGGTCAAACCTGAATGGCCTAGTGGTTTAAGAACATAAGAACATAAGAGACGCCAATGTTGGATCAGGCCAAAGGCCCATCCAGTCCAACACTCTGTGTCACACAGTGGCCAGAAATACCAGTGCCATCAGGAGGTCCAGCAGTGGGGCCAGGACATTAGAAGCCCTCCCACTGTTGACCCCCCCCCCCCAAGCACCAAGATGACAGAGCATCACTTGCCCCAGAGCCCCTAGCTATACCTTGTGGCTAATAGCCACTGATGGACCTCTGCTCCATATGCTTATCTAATTCCCTTTTGAAGCCGTCCATGCTTGTAGCTCCCACCACTTCCTGTGGCAGTGAATTCCATGTGTTAATCACTCTTTGGGTGAAGAAGTACTTCCTTTTATCCGTTCTAACCCGACCGCTCTGCAGTTTCATGGAGTGCCCACGAGTTCTTGTATTGTGAGAAAGGGAGAAAAGTACCTCTTTCTTTACCTGCTCTTTCCCATGCATAATCTTATAAACCTCGATCATGTCACCCCTCAGTCGTCTTTTCTCCAAGGTAAAGAGCCCTAAGCGCTTTAACCTTTCCTCATAGGGAAAGTGTTCCAACCCTTTTATCATTCGAGTTGCCCTTTTCAGTGAATACATGAAAGCTCGTTCAGTGAATACATGAAAGAGGGGCTTTTCAGTGGCAGCCCCACAATTATTGAACAACCTTCCCAGGGAGGTGCACCTGGCCCCCTCACTTGTGATCTTTAGGAGGCAGTTGAAGACAGTTTTATTTGAGATGGCATTTGGTTAAGTTTATGAGCAGTCCTGAGTTGTGATTTTAAATGTAGGTTTTTATATTCTAATGCATTTTATTTTGTGTTTTATCTATGCTGTAAATTGAGTTCTGTAAAGAACGGCAGCTGATAAATGTTTTAAATAAGTAAAATAACTAATCTTCCTTTAAAAAGCAGGTAAACAAGTAGCCATTACATGGAAACATTTCCTTTTAAATATTTTGAAGTAGCTATGTACATGACTATACCAAGTCACACATTTTTTTTAAAATCCTGTGTCTCCATAAATTTTATATCCATGATACACACAAAAACTCTGCAAGCTCTAGATCATGAAAGCATGTGCTAGAATGTAAACTGATTACTCTTTAAAGTGCCACAAGACTCCTGATTATTTTTACAAAATTCTGATTACCTTGCCTGGAACCCTGCGACTCCTGTTTCGAGGCTGAGCTCTTGTAATAGTCAAACATTTGCCATTTGGGCTCCAGAGCCAATTATTTGCCATAGCCGATCTTTCACAGTCTTTTTTTCTTGAGCACCTGAAATAATTATAAAAATTAAAGTCATTCCAGGCATCTTTTAAAAATGTTGATCGGTGCTCATTAATCAACATGCAACAAGAGTAGAAACACATATGAATTGACAGAGGAAAGATGAAAGAGAATGTGTGTTTAATATTTCATTTCCTCCCTTTGGTTTACTTATTGTTCTTTATGACAGGATAATTACCTGTGAGAATGTTCAAATGGTAACTATAAATGCACAAATATTTACTTTGAATGCAATTCACTATATGCCAGAGAAAACCTGATGTAATACTTAAAAAAAACAAAAAAAAACCCCCATGTTGCCGTTAAGAAGTAATACTGTGTCTATGAATTGTGGATTATTTTTACCTATTCTTGAAACAATGCTCATTCTTTACCATATCTTTAGCCTCAGCTTGTTTAACAGTTTGGTCTGTGAGCTCCTGCTTCTTCTACAAAGAAAAAACAACCATTGCAAAGAATTTTGCATAACACCACTCCTAGATTGAAAGTGAACTTCAAGTAAAACTATTGTTGAAAAATTATACACTTTCAGTCATTATATGCTCGGTGAAATATCTGAAGGACCAACACAGGGAGTCTGGGTGAACCTATTGTGGGGTCTAGAGCTCTACTGGGACTCCCAATACGTCTTTTGGGCTGGGTACAATGCTTTATTTTAGGCCCCCTCTGAAAAATATCCTAAACCACATGACAACCCCTCTGGGCCAAGAGCCCATGTGGCTTAGGATCATTCTTCAAAGGGGGCATGAAATCAACATTATACTAGGTCTGAAAGATGGTATTGGCATTCCAGTTTGTTTTGACAAATGCTGGTTTCATCACTTTTGCTCCAGGCAAGCATCTCGGGGAGTGCAACTAGGTTTGCCAAATCTCTTCTTACCTGCAGTGGGGGGCTCTGGCTCCTTGTTGGGATTTTTCTGCTGCATTTGCAAAACACGCCCAGCACAATTACATCACCAGTAGTGATGTTATCATACTGGGGGCATTGCGTGCTCTAGCATCCAGGGCAAAAACTCTACGGTAGCCATAGAGTTTCCCCATGAATGCTAGTGTCGCCGCATGATGCCCTCAGTATGACAACATCACTACCAGTGATTTCACTGTGTCAGTGGCATCCCTGCAGGACGCTGCTGTTTGGGGGTGGGGCTTCTCCCACCAGCCAGCTGGCCGGTGGTGGATTGGCCCCCCCAAAATCCCCTGGCCCCACTGGCCCCTAAGTGCAACAGGGTTGGAAAACAAGCTAGAATGTCTGTTTGTACACTGTATAAAACCATAATTAAGCCTAACTGTGGCTAATGAACTTGTTTGACAGACCCTACCTAACCATAAAGAGGCTCACATTTGAAAAACCAACATTAAGCATTTTTAATTTAATTAAACCATAGTTTCTGATTATGTCTTAAATGATTATGGTCTCTGGATATCTGATTGTGTACTAGATCAGGGGTCTCTAACAGTGTTCCCTCTAAGCTGAGTTAGTGTGAGCTAGCTCACATTTTTTTAGCCTCCGGTTCACGCATTTTTTTTTTAGCTCAGGAAGAATGGCTCCATAGCAAACTAATTAATGCAGCAGCTAAATCACTTGCTCACAATTTTAATGCCAGTAGCTCACAAAGTAGAATTTTTGCTCACAAGACTCCACAGCTTAGAGGGAGCATCCCTAACATTGCTTCCATGGGCACCATGGCACCCACTGATACTTTCCTGGTTTTAAGAATGTGGGCGGGCCCAAGTGGGGCTTTTACCCAGTATAGCATCTGAGTAGCCACTAGAGATCTGATTTGCTGTATGTTTTTTTTAAAACATTGTTTCAGTGGCCGCTGCTGTCACGAGCATGGGTGAGGGAGAGCTGACAGAACTGCCAGAACTTGCAGAAACCACAGCTGGCCCCTGTGAAGAGGACAGTTTGCAGCTGCCACTTGCATTAGCATTCCTCGCACCTGGCTCAGATGAGGGGGAGAAATCACAAGATGAAAGCCCTCCCGACTCGCCTCCATGTGTGACTTGTCTAAGGGAGCAGCTGTGTCAAAACTTAGCAATCAGGGGGCGAGAGGCCAGGCTACAGGGAAGACGCTCAGTTAGCCCGGAGTTTTAACAGGAGCCTGGATGCTTGCATGGCTGGCTAACTGGTAGCAGCATTTAGCTCAACACTCTGGGCAGAGCCCTTCGTGGAAGCAATAAGTCAGCTTCATGACACCTCACATCCACTTTGGCTCAGCTACCTAGACTATTGGACCCTCTGGCTTTGGACTACATTTCTGGTTAGTGATTTTGGACTTGGCTCTGTGTTCCTGTCTCCTCACCCTGGTTTGGTTTTGGACTGTGGACTTGGCTCTGTGTTCCTGGCTCCTCACCCTGGTTTAGTTTTGGGCTTGGCTCTGTGTTCCTGGCTCCCGAACTTGGCCTGTTTTTGAACCCCCTCTGACTGGCACCCCAGCCTGTGACAGCTGCCACCACAGTAGTGGTTCCATTCTACCTCCAATTAATCTCTGCCAGCATATAGTTTTAAAATTATTCCTCTTTTCCCCTGCACTTGGGCTTCCTCTATATGTTTATGTGTAGCTCTGCCTTCCCCAGCAGCTATTTTCTGATGGTACCATCGCCCTGTGTCAGAATTCCAAAGGTGTCCATGGGCTCAAAAAGGTTGGTGACCTTTGTATTGGACAGTACACAATATTTGACATAAGAAGAGTTCTGCTTGCTCCAGTAATTTTTTTACACAGAAAAAAACCAAATGCTTCTGGGAAGCCTGAAGGTAACTCATCTAGTTTGCTGTTGTATCTGAACATGGACAATCTTTAACATATTTACCTGATAGACCAACAATAGACTTCAGTGGGCTTAGACTGGACATGGGAGTAAGCCCACGTAGGATTGAACTGCTAGCTTCCATGAATTTGGCTAACAACCTTGTAAGCCCTCTAAGCCACTGAACATCAAAAATGTATTATTCCATGAGAGTTATACTCTGAAGAACTTTCTCTTGTCTATCTTTCGTCTACTGCCCATCAATGGGGTAAACCCAAATGTGATAGCTATGGGTCTGAAAGAGAAAAACTCTCTCTATTCACATTAGGGCACATTAGCGGGGAAGGGCGGTTAAGAAATCTAAATAAATAAATAAATAAAATTATTCTCATATGCATAATTTTATAAACTTCAATAAAATCTCCTTAGGCATCTTTTTTCATAAACTGAAAAGGCCAAAATGCTTTAGCCTTTCTTTGTTGGGAAGGTGCATCAATCCCAAAACCCTTTTGGTTGACTACTTCTGAACCGGGTAACCAGAATGCTAAGCAGTGCAGTACTGTGGTTAGAGCATTGGACTAGAACATGGGAGAGTTATGTTCAAATCTATTCTCAGCCATGGGAGCCACTAACTGACCTTGGGCCAGTCAGTCTCTCTCAGCATGATCAACTTCACAGGATTGTGGGGATAAAATGGTGTTACTCAAAATGGTCTAATAATAAATTGTTTGGGGAATTTAGTTTAGTGAGAGGAGTATAACTCGGGATCTTTTACCTGTGTATATAGGAGTCCTTTCCCAGAGAACTCTCAAATAAACCAGGCTGATGTTCAACTGGTAGAGTTTTATTGAAAAATAATAAAGAGCAAAGCACACTGTATAACAAGCATACAAGACCTAATTTGGAAAGTAAAAGGAAGTAGCAGGGAAAATAGTGGTTTAGGGCAGGCGATGTTTACCCCATCTTGTAGTATCAGGTCCGTGGAGGAGAGAAGCGACCAGTGCTTCCCCCAGTGTGAAGTTGATGTCAAGACGAGAGTGTGCGTACTGAAGCTGGGTTCATGTATTTATAGGGAAAATGTGCCTTCAGGCAATGTGACAGGTTTGCCCCTAAAACAATAGCTAAAAGTGTTTACAGGAAGGTTCCCAGAAACTTGGACAAATGATTAATAATTTTCCCAGAGGGAGATCAAAGTATTGAGTGGTTCTTGATAGCCCTCCTGGAGCTAGGATATGGCAGTTGATGTGGTTGATGCAGGACGCATGAAACTTCCAGATGCTATAGATATGCTAACAGTGTTGTAGGTGCCAAGAGGGGAAGTCGGTACCTGAAAGAGGTACCATCAAAGTAGGGTGCTGTTTTCCTGAGAAATTGACTGTTATAAAATACGCATTGCCTTTTGGTTGGGGAGATTTATTTGCAATTCAGTTCCTGAGTTTACTTCTAGATAGTTTCTCTCAGGCTGGTTTTCTGCTTGGCATTCCTTGTGGGGTCATCTTTAGGCCAGGAAGTGATTGTATATGAAGGGTGTCTGGGCTTGCTTTCTCTCTGGGTGCCAACTATCCAACTTTAGGGGAGTGCTGACTGCTAACAGTGTGGCAAGGGACATCCATGTACATGACTTGAACTCATTTAAAGAAAAGCAGGATAAAAAAAGGCAGACATATGGTATTCCAAATGAACACATCTTCAAGAAATATACTGATGTATATATACTAATTTCATAACATCAGATCAAACAAAAATGAGCAAACTGCTATAGAAGCCAAACAATTTTAAGTTACAGTTTAACTTCTGGATTATAATTTAGGGACTGTAAGCACTACATTTATATAAACAAAAAATGAAAAGCCACATAAGTGGCACATGTTGATAGGAACCAGGCTCTACAGCCTACACTGTGAAGAATTGCAACAATTCTCAACAAATAGAATTCTGATGCAGGGGATCCCAGTTCAAAAATGACTAGGCCCTCTATTTCTTTAAGAATTCAAACAAATGTTGATGTTCCATAGGTGTAGGCCTTTACAGTCCTCTTTGTGAGATTCCAGGAAAGCTATACATGCTGCCTTGCTGCTCCACTATTGTCAAGAACGTTGGGTCACTCAAAATGGAGTTTGCTTCAAAAGTCTGGTTCAGTCTTGCTGCGGCATGCTCTTGTTAAAAATGTTGTCTTTAAGACTCCTAAATTTCACACAGACGTGCTGGGGGGGAGGGAACATCCTTGCACCTGCAAGATAACGCGTTCTTCTCTGGCCTTGGCTTCCCTCATTAACATTCCAAAGCAATTAAGCACTGTGGGAAGGGAATGGTGATGTGAAGCTGCAGATCACATCACCTGCTCTTCTGACATGACCAGAGACCAATGAAATTATCCTTTCACTGATTGGCCTACTTGTATCTGGAAGATACTGCTTGAACCCTAATTGGTGCACAGGCCTAGCAACCGATTGGGTTTCAAATGATAAATAAGCTATTAACATCTGTTCAGGGGGTATGATGGTGTTGCATGTGAAGCTGACATGTTACATCGCCTTGCTCACTCCTGGCCATCATGGAAGCTCTGACTGCTGAAGCGAACCAGTCTGGCATTTGGGACTCTGGAGACGGAGTATACTTTGGACCCAGAACTGAATGGGTAACATCTTGTTCTTTGAGAACCAAGGTTCTACAAGTGTTTAGCTAGTCTATTAAACTCTAGTTTTATTATTTTCCTTCCCAGTAACCTTTTAAGTAATTCTGCACTTTTTAAAATAATACTCTTTGCATATATTTTATTTACCAACTTTTGGTTTCTGTCTCTACTGCTGCAGTAGGACAATGTAGTGCCTAGACTGATGGTTCCTACCTCTAGAATAACATGTGGGTCTCCTGCTGTGAGCCAACCTCGCAGGAAGGATTCCCTAGTTAATCCTGGTAAGGTCAGGAGCTTGTCCTTTGGCTCTTGACTGGAGGGACACAAAAGGACTGGTGGTAGCACTACCTAGTTAGAGGTATACAGGTGCCTTTACCCCCCCTTTGTAATTCTGACTAGCCAGCCTCTTGGTGAAGACAGCCTCCAGCCCGGCTTGGGCAGTAGGGAGGCTCTTTTTGAGAACTGTGTAGACTCTAAGCCCATACAGGCAACCAAGCCATCACAGGAGAACTCTTTTGCTGGGGAGTAGCTTAGTCATTTACATCACTCTACTAAGTAGCATGGAGAATATTACCCTACTTGAGCTACTGATGTGTGGCAAAACTCATGTTAAAATGTCCAACGTATGGGCTTTTGGTCTGCTTTGCAATGCGGCTTCCTTAGCTCAAATGCACAGTTATTGCCCTCACCTTTCAATAGTGATACCACAATCCATATAGTTTTTATCCCGAGGTATGCAGGCAGAGCCCCACATGTACCAAGTCACAAGAAAAAGGGTATGTGGATAAGCAGCACAGTGAGGCTTCATCATGATAACTGTGGAAAGAGGTTTGCTGTAGCCTTCTCAGGAGGCATATTCAGGCAGAAGATAAGGCATTCAGAGGAGTGAGTGGGCACATGTGTGCTGAGTCCACTACTGCTGGCAGTTGAACATGGTACTACTATGAGCTATTCATCTTGAAAGTATTTCCCATCCCCAGCTCAAATAACAACATCTGTAACTCTTCTACAGGAAAATGTATCTGTTTTAATTTTTCTTTGACATATCATGAAATTAGAAAATATCAACACTGCATTTGACTGCAAAAGACGGAAAGATTTCATAACTGCAAGGGAGAGGAGACACCAGTAGAAACTCTTCAGAAAAAAAGTTGAAGAAAACTTTTCAATATGTGACATGTTCAAGTTCAGACACCTACCTAAGGCTCCTTGCCACCCATTCAAACTGTTCAATTTGGAGTCACACATTAGTCCTATATCTAAAGCTGGTCTACTTAGGGGTGGGGTTTTTGGCTTCATGTCGAACTTCTAGATAATTTTACTGCAACAGTTCAAATGTCTAAGAGAGGAAGCAAGATCCCTGAAATCCATCTGCTTCCTATAATTAAATAAACACTTTTGTACAAACAAAATACATTTCATACCACAAAATCCCATATGTTTCTGCCATGGGGTTGATTTATCTAAAAGTCAGAAGCATGTTGTCTGACATACCTATTCCCCGTTATTTGTTTAAAAAATAAGCCTGGAGATATTCAAAGGGTTTGGTGCAGCAGATTTTAAATCTTATTCCTGAGATATAATTTAGCCAAGTGGCAACCGTTATGTCAGAATGCTTCACAGAAAGCTATACCTTTCACTGCTGAACAGTGACTGAATAAATATTATGTGGTATTTTTAAAAATATACATACATAAACTTAGAATCTCAGTGTGGGTTATTTTTGGTTATATCTTCTGTAAACTTGCGAGTTTGCCCTGTAGACACCCTCTTGCTTCTCACATGAGGGGAAACTATTTTTTTTTAGAACTACAGAAAAGCATGAGTGGAGAAACGCCATTTTATGCCTATGTTTAAGTTGGTGTGGGCCAGATAGGAGGAGATCATGAAACCTGAGGTAGGCCTTGGCCTAGTCTCCTCTTCATTCCCCCCCCTCCTGTCTCCAACCAGTAGTCAGAAGGCAGCTCCCTAGAGAGGACAGGAAGTACATCTAGGTGGTGAGGAGATCTGCCCCAGAATGCTGCAGGAAGGAGAGCCACTTCCTGGGCGGGAAGGGCTGTTTGATATAGTGGAGCTTTTGGGCAGGAAGCCAGTCTGTGAGAATTGAGGGCAGTCTGCCTGAAGTCTGGAGCCAGTCAGGCTGTCGGCTGGAGACTGCAGGAGGCAGAGGCCATGTTGGGAGTTGTGCTAATCGAACTTCCTCCATTGAAAGCAAGTCATGTGCCTGCCCTGCAGACCATCTAGACAGGGTATGTGTAGTGAAGGGAGAGATGGAGCGATTTATTATCCATCTTTATTTTGATTCTTCAGTTCACTGTTAATATGCCTGTATATAGTTGAGTGATTTCAAAATAAATTCTTTTACTGTTGACCCTGAGAAGTCCCTCTGTACCACATAGTTCCCCCAGCCACTTGGACACGCTAAGAGTGGGTTGGAGACTCCCTGAAAAGGAGAACAAGGGCAAAACGGTCAGTTGCCAACTCTCCAGGGGAGCCTCGAAGATTACCAGGAAGCCCCAAGGTGGGTTCCTAGCAACAGCAGAGGGAGGTTGGGAGGCTGTCCCGCCTAACCAGAGCCCAAGACAGGGACAGTGGTGGCAGCAATACCCGGAGGCAGTGGTGAAAAACTGCCACTTCAAGTGCCAGGTCAGGCAAAGGAGAGGTGGGCAGAGTGGGGTCTGCCAGCGGACGCAGGCTCGTTCCGCCACAGCATGTATAACACTGCACAAAGCTATTCTAACCAATGGTCCAATGAGAAAGAAAAACAGAGATTGGAAATCCTTTTAAGTCCAAACAGCCAATGCAAAATCACAGGTAAATTGCTTCAAACACGCACACACAAAACACCTTTTGTCTTTATATTTTTGCCATTTTTCTTACTGTAGTTCACATTTATGTTTGTGAAAGAAAGTGTGTTTCAAAGGGTGCGGTCACACACGTGAGATAAACCGGGGGGGGGGGAAGGGAGGCTATTTCCTCTGGAGGAATTTGACCAGCAGTTGCGCGATCACACAGTCCTTTGAAGCTGCGGGGACAGCCTGCCACTGCATGATCAGACACAACCGCAGGTGAGTCTGTTTTTTTGGGGGGGGGGCTGTTTGTTTCCGATTCGCATAAATGGGAAATGGATGAATCGCATCTCAGCACTGAGGGCTCCCTATGGAGTGTGCGATGATGCGCATACTGAGGGGGGGGGAACGGCATGGAGTCGGGATGGCCTGGTCAGACGACGCCATGAGAGCACGCTGGAGCAACCAGACGGGAAAGTCTGTCCATGGCCGATAGCAACTCGTTTGCTACTGGACTTTCCCCGGTGTCTTTTTACTCTGCTTCTGCAGTGGAGCAAAACGGGTTGCCGATGGGTGCAGGGCGCTTCCCAGATGTTCGTGTCTGATTGCGCCCTTTAAATCCGCCTGGCATTCACCCCTATGGCGTGGCTAATTGTGCGTGTGATTGTGCTCAAACACTAGTTTCAGATCCAATATCAGAAATTCTAGACAGCTTAAATTGTCATGTCTTCCATAAGATGTCCTGATACTTGTAATTTCATAATGTACTTTTATATATCTGTTACCCTAAAAGACACTATAGTTTGTGTGGCTTGTTGGAAAGAATACACTTGAAAAGGTTTTATTTTAGTATGCAAGTGTGTTCTAAAAGATGTATGGATTTAAACAGCAGGAAGTGTATCAATGCAATCAAGTTTATGACTTAACCACTTTTAAAAAGTTGATTTCTAATTCACATAGGTGCCACGATAGGCTTGAAAATATAGGCGCATGTAAACAATTGAGTGGATTAGACAAGCAAACAAAAGCACTAGTTTATTTTTAAACAACAGTCTTGTCATTTCTACTTCCAGGAAATGTCTACTTCAGGATTTTGATTATTAGGTTCTACCAACACCAGAAGACTGATCTGCTAAACTAAATAGAAGATGAAACTGGTTAAAAGGGTCTTGTAAAATTGATATACGCGCATTCAGGGAAACTACATTTAGTCCCACAGGAGATGATTATTTTCCACAGCCCATTCTACAGCCCAACAATGCGGTGCTCAGCAATGCACACAAACTGAGCCCGCATAGCCTTAGAAACGCAAATGAAGAAAAAAGAAGGAATAGTTTTCCCACCCAATTGTTTCTAAGCCCCTTTACCCACTGGAAGGGCTGCATTCAGGAATTTTTAGGGTTAATAATGCTAGAATAAGACTACTACCAGATAAATGCTAGATGTTCACCAGCTGCGGCTTGGCAACCACCATTTTCATGCAAATTATATACAAACTATACAGATAAAATATGCAAATTAGTTTCTTCCCTGCTGCTCATTATATGTTTATACTGTGGTAATTGGTGATGAAGAACTGTTCCAGTTCTGGTATAAATGCTTTAAAGAAATTATTCAGCAACAATATCATGAAAAGAATTAACTTGCATAATATGATATATACCCCTCTACGATATGATATGCAATACTTACTTTCCCTCTGTTACACACCAACCACAATAAGGATCGTGAGCATTAATACACTGTTCACAAGTAGAATAAATATCGCATTCCTGGACAGGCAATCGAAACACCTAGTAAGAAAAAACAACAACGATAAATAGGAAAAATAGTAGTGATTTCAGTAAGAAATGAAAGAATACTATTTTGGGCACTTATACACAATATCAATTTGATACCTTCTGTGACTTCCCTTGGATATGTTTGTAGCCCAAGCCAATTCACAGGGGCATCTCAAGCTACCTTATGTCAACATTGGTTGGCATAGCTCTGTACTGTGTACTTCAACATGCTAAAGCTCTATAGGGTACCAGACATGGATCAGTCTCAACCATTATCTAAGTTCCCTCAGCCAGAAATGCTAGAGACTGAACCTGGGGTGTTTTGGATGCAAAGCATGCTTGCTACTGCTGAGCCCAGACCTTACATATGAGAACATATGAAGCTGTCTCATACAATGATCTGTTGATCCACATAGAGTAGACAGTACAGAGTAAAATGGCAACAGCTCTCCAGGCAGAGGTCTTTCCCAGCTGAGTCAACTTAAGCTCCTTTAACTGATACCAGGAATTGAACTAGGGGGGTCTGTGCATATAAGCCATGCGCTTTGTCACTGAACTATGTCTTCCCCATTCTTGCTCCTTGTCAGGAACACAAGAAACCATTCCTCTTTAAGTGGTCAGCACTGCTCCTGTGCAAGTCAAATGCAGCACACAGCATTTTTTAAAAAAATTATTAGTTATTTCTGTTACATAGTACACATTATTTGTGTTATATAACAGGTATAATGCAATGTCACATTTTAAATTGCTTTGCCACACCCTAATCTACAACTCAAATGTCCTTTGATGTAGGATTTTGGGAGTCATGCATAAAAGTTGGTTGGAAGAGCTAAGACTTGTAACTATATTTATGAAGATCATGTTCCTTGTAGAAACTTCAGTAGCAAGTTCTATCACAAGGTGGGAAATACCAGACATTTTTCACATTTTTAAAAGACAGACATGCAGGATGGGACTTCTCACAGTTATAATATTTTGAACATGCTGGCTTATATTGCAGCTCTGAATCTCATTACTGCTAGGACTGGCTGAAGGGCTCCTACAATGCTATAATTACATATTTTCCCAGGAGGACTAGTTTACTTATACCATTCAGTCGATGTCTGAAAACATCCAAAACTGTACATCCAAGTCATGCTCTTGCACATACATGCCCAAAATAGATATATATGTTTATATCCCATAAAGCCTAAAATCCTAAAAATACAGACATTAATATTCTTTCATAACTAAAGGTAAAGGTTTCCCTTGCTCGAAAGCCAGTCGAATCCGACTCTAGGGTTGTGGTGCTCATCTCCGTTTCCAAGCCGAAGAGCCAGTGCTGTCTGAAGACGTCTCCGTGGTCATGTGGCTGGCATGACTAGACGCCGAGGCACATGGAACGCTGTTACCTTCCCACCAAAGTGGTACCTATTTATCTCCTTGCAATTTCTTGCTTTCAAATTGCTAGGTTGGCAGGAGCTGGAACCAAAGATGGGAGCTCACTCTGTCTTGCGGCACTCGGGTCTCGAACTGCTGAACTACCGACCTTCCAGCCTGCAGTTCAGCGTCTTAACCACTGAGCCACCACAGCTCCTCTCTTTCATAACTACTCAACACCATTAAATTCCTGTAACAGTCTCCTCCTTCAGTGGGAGTATATTCATGAGTAAATAAATATCAAAAGAATAGCTCTCTGTCTTAAGATAAAGTACTCATATCACTATCCTGGCATTTAGAACCAAGTCAGATGGAGCATACAGTAACACATGAATAACTCCTGTTGATTTCTTAAATGATGTTCTGAATTTGGGCAAGAAAGCAGGTGATGGAATCTCATCAACAAAAGCCAGCAAGAATAATGGCTAATGTGCACTATTTTATTTACAAATGGGAATAATGCTAACTTTTAGAGCTGCCACACATCCGCTTATGCATCACATGATACAGAAATTACAGATGCTTCAGGGGGGTATTTCCTGATCTCTGCATGGTATCTGGGAACCAGTTAAGAGGGAAGTGGACTTCAAAAGACATTTGCTTCAGGCAACCCACTTCTTGCTTATCCAACAGAAGAAGACACAAAGAGAAACGCTAGAGAAGGAACCAGGAAGACTCTCTTTGCAATCTCGGTTTGCCCATCAGCTCCATAGTCTTTTTATCCAGTCCTCTTTCCTAGCAACAGGACTTGCTGCTGTACGTAGCATTCTTAATGCTCTTGCTACCACAGTTTTGGTTGCAAGAAGTGCCTCATCTTCAAGTAGTAACTGACATTTACAGATGAACAAGCAGAACTCAAATTGTACAATTGCAGGCAACGGCACTGTGGTTCAGCACACTAGATTTAGAAAACATGAGTTCAAATATCAGACCATTCTGATCATCGGCAAGTTGCTATCACTCTTGTGAACTTCTCCATTGTATGGTTAGCTTCAGGATAAAAAACTATAATTTTATTTATTCTTGTATTTTGATTATGCTTCTCAACTAAAATCATTCTGCCATGGTTGGGGGAAAATACATATTGCCAGGGGTCATTTCGTAGAAAAAGAGCTAGGGGAACTCATTAGCATAACTCATTAGCATATGCCACACCCACTGACATCACCGGAAGTGTGTCATAAGGCCACACACCCCGCCCCCAACGGTCCCGGCCGCCACTGCCGGCCTTGCAGCTCCACTGCCGAGCCCCATGAGGGGCCTGGCAGTGGACTTGCAAGGCCGGCGAGAGTGCAAGGAAGCCCCACGAAGGCCCTCCCTGGCCCCAGGCAGGCAGGGGTGGGGAGAGGCAGGGAGGAAGCAACTTACCTGCCCTCTTCTCCTGCCTCCTCCTGGCTGAATGAGGGCCGGAAGCGGGGTGGCCGGAAGCAGGGGGCGGGGCTTCGTCATGTGCCCTGCCCCCGTACCTCACCTGGGGAACTGCGATCCCCCGCGATCCCCCCCGAAATGACTTCTGCATATTGCAGAGTAAGAGTTTTGCCAGAAAGAATCAATTTTCTCTTAACAGGACTCTGATACCAGCCAGCATCAGAAAGGGAATATCCCAGTGAAGGACAGGTGAGCCTTGCTCCATGGTAGATAATTCTACTGTAGTGTATTTGCCACACTTAATTTTTTTCTTTTGGAATTGGGAGAACTGTGCCTATAGTACAGGGCAATGGATAAACACTGGATAGTGGTATATAACTTGAGCTGAATGGGGTAATTATACCACTGAAGATTCAGGTGTTCTGGCTAATTGTCCTTCTAGAACCTTAAACTGATATACCAGCTGTGAGCTTTCCTGGAGAAGTCTGACCTGGCCCATGTACTGGTGACCATGATTCTACGTTCAGAAAGCTAATACTATTAGCTTAATTACTGTTCACAACAAAACAAAACTAAATAAATAAAAAACAAAATTGTACCTTGTTTGCAGTCATCACATACAAGTGCTCTTGGAGAACATCGAGGACAAGATCCTTCTTAATAGCTTGGTTTTTTTCAAGCACTCCACCACCATACTCCTTTGCAGGATTATCCAGAAATATCTGAAAACACAGGTAATTAAGTGTCATTTTAGCTACTTATATATTGAACAGGAATGAAGAAGTGTTAATTTGAAACTGATATATTTATTTAAAAAACAGCCATTTTTAGAAATTATTTGTATGGAATGAGAAAAGTCACTGTTCTTTGTAACATTACTGGTTTTTCAAAATGTTATCCAAACAAGATTCCCAGTTTCTATTTCCCACGCCTTGTAAGCAAATAGTTTTACCATTTCCCCCATGTGTTATAATAGTAATGGTGTAGATCCAACCATCCTCCAAGGACTCTTCCTCCAATGGAACAGCCACTTAAGCTGAAGAAAAGTGTCAAACAGTGGAGTGGGAGGATAGGATCCACTCAAGTTACAAATGTATTACCAAATTCATTTGTAATCTCAGCATAGTTTTCAAGTTCTGATCTCCACGTTATGTTTCGGGTACTTATTAAGAACCTGGGATCCAGAATCTTTGGTGTCAACTTGGAGAAATTCTACCATAGCTTTGTGTAACTTTTGATTTGACACCAATCTAACATTCCCAGTCTTCAAACTATAGTTAAGAGATCAGAAACATGCCCTGGGTTCACATGCTCCCCTGTGGATTCCCCCCTTTCAAATTGTTTGTTTTAAATCTAGTTTATTGTTAACATCCGTCTTGGAGGTGACTATTGCTAAGACTTCCAGGAGGATTGGTGCTCCAACCAGAATGCTGTGGGGGAGGGAATTCCCAGCTAGGGTTCTGATTCTTTACAACCATAATGTTCTATATTCTGAAAATACTCTAACTTTTAAACATTAAAAATTACCTTGAGTATTCTGCCATCAGAAGTTCCTACAAACGCCACAGTGTAATCATTCTCTACAGCAAAGGTCAAAGCAGTTAACTTAACACCTTCCTTTTTCAAAAGAGGTTCAGTTGTAATTCCCTCTTTGCTTCCCAGAGGGTATGGCAAATGTTCAGAACCACATGGAAAAGTTTTGCTAAGAAGATCCTAAGAAATGAGGTAAAGAAACAAAAATAAAGGTTAAGACTGACAGCTTCCGAATCTGATCTTGTGGCTTGGTAGAAATCACACTCCCATCTTTCAACAAGTCTGCCACTCTTTTCAAACAATTAGATCATGTTTTAGAATGGCACTGTCCAAGAAGCATTCCAGTTGTTGAAAGCATAGTCTGTGAGTGCTGCCATTTTGGATCATATGAGTCCATATATCCGGCCAGGCCCATCTCACTGAAGATGGAAGCAAAGTAGTGAAGACTCTCTGTGGGGCAATTTCCCTGTTTCTTATCTAGTGGCTGCTGCTGATGTATTGCCATTGATACCAGCATCCTTTGGTCTATAAAAAGATGCTTATTTCACTGGAAGCACGCATCTAGTTTGGAGTGTAAGTGATCATATTTGAGAAAATCACTCCTTAGGATAACAGAAAAAATTAATGGAAATCTGAAATAATCAGCATACAGTTTGCTGAAAATTCTACCCGACCGAAAATTACACAGTGTTGAAAATAATGTGCTTTATGTTGAGCACTGAATCTAATAAGCTATTGGTTCTATATCTGATTCTAGTTGGAGCTGAAATTGGTCAGGGCATGTTTGCTGTCATGATGAAAGAGACTGCAGAATAGGGTTGCCAAAGTCTCACCTTGTTCTGGAGCAGGGGACTCCCGGGTCGATCCCGGAGCGCGCGCGCGCCGCATCTACGTCACCAGGAAGTGACGTGACGACGCTGGATGTGCTGGGGGCGGGGCCACAACCATCTGAAGGGAAACCATAGAGTTTTCCCTCGGATGACTGTGGCCCCGCCCCCAGCATGCCAGGCGTGGTCGCGTCACTTCCTAGTGACGTGTACGTCGGGGTGGAGTTCCCCCCGGGGCCTGATCCAGCGGCGGCGGGGAATGGGCCTCTGGGGCGGGGGTTTCCCTGCCCCCCGGGGGGACTTGGCAAGCCTACTGCAGAAGCATCTCTTGTGAAGGGGTCTCTGTCTGGGGAGTGAGACAGATGTATACACAATCTGGGGGTTAGAAAATTGAGTTTAGAATCTAAACACCACTTTTCCAAGAAATTTTATAACTGCGTGGTTAGCTGTGCTGTGGGGATTCCAACAGAGACTTCATTCACATCTTGAGTCCACCAGTCTAGGCCTCAGCTAATGGTCCTGTCTGCTGCTCAAGGAGAGAGTAAGACTCTCAAGGAACCTTAACTGGAAGACTTGGAGGAGGCAGAGATAAGATTTGATTGCATGGGCCCAGGGGGAGCGTGCAAACCATTTGTTGGTTCTTGGAGGCAAGGCAGTTGCTCCATGCTAGTAAACCCAAAGTTGTCTCAGCCTTCACAAAGTCATTGGAGTCTGCAAACCTCTGCCCTCACCCTGGCCCACCATTTGCAACTGATGCAGAGCTCTAGCAAAGCTACATGCCTGAAATTCTGAGTTCCTTCATTAAGCACTGTAATAAGAATACAAGACTGGAAAAGACAATAATGCTAGGGAAAGCTGAATGCAGTAGGAAAAGAGGAAGACCCAACATGAGATGGATTGACTCAATAAAGGGAGTGACAACCTTCAGTTTGCAAGCCATTAACGATAGGACATTTGGGAGGTCATTAATTCATAGAGTTGCCATAAGTTGGATGTGACTTGACAACACCTCTCTCTCTCACACACACACACTGTTCTATTGCCCATTTAAAGAGTATTGTACTGCTTGCTGACTTCATAAGGAACTTAAATTCCTGCCATTTCTTTTCTAACTTGTTTTTCAAACACTTAGGGTCTAATTCACCATGACACAGGCTATTTCATCATTTTGACATAATAAAATAATCAAACTGAAGGAGGAAAAGGAGGGGGAAAGTTAAACATCTGAGGTGGAGTCTCTCCAGTGCTCACACAGATGGTTCCATGTAAGCCAGGCACTTCACTATTAATAAAAGCTTTGCATGTGCCCCTTCCTTCTATGTCTCATATGTAAAGCTTTCCAACACTAAATGCTAAGCCCTTGTTCACATGGAAGCTTTGCATTTGCACTGGAGCCCTGCAGAGGTTTGGATCTCACTACTGTTTTGAAAGCTTGAGAGATATTTTTCATTCTGAAATGATTTGCCTCAAGTAATCTTTAAGTGGCAAGAACATAACTGCATATGATTAGCTGCTAAAATCATGTTGTGTTCCTATTTACTCTAATTGAGAAAATATGGAAGAAAGGACAATTGGAACCTGTCTGTAGAGCTCAGTAAAGCAAGCCATGAATGTATTAAGCTGTTTTGTTTTTAAAGGTCATACATAAATTAGGCTTTGTTTGAGCTGAAAGTCATTTGCAATGGAAGCGGCATGTAAAAGTTGGAAAGGACCATCAGTGGTAGAGGACATGTAGAAAGTTGCAGGTTCAATTCCAGGTACTTCCAGTTAAAACATCTCAGATAATAAGTTTTCAGAAAGACATTATATTGTGGGAGACCCTAGAGACTTGTTAAAGTAGACAGTAATGAGCCAGAGAGGCCAGTATGGGTCTGGTACAGCTTATGTTCTTGTATGACATGTTAACGCTGACAACGGATCCTTTGCTTTAACCAAGCCTGGCTCTAGAAATAGGTTTGTTTTCTATTTTAGTTTTTCTTCCCAAAGGAGTTAAAAACAAAACTGCTAATAAACATCTTTGGCAAATCCATGAAAAAATAACTTTACACATATTGTATTCCAGGGTATAGTCATACACCAAGCCAAATTCCCATGTATATGGGGATAAAATAATCCCCCCTCCCACTTTTGTGGTAATAGAAGGCATTGTATTTCACTGTACTCAGGAAGTGAAAAATAAATGTGTGAACAATAACATTGTATTTGATCTGGAACACTTTTTTCTGGGAACAAAGTCATCTGACATTTTTCCCAAATAAAATTTATGAGCAGGGTAAAAAAAATCATCCTAACAGCAAAATCATTATACCCCTCTCCCCAGTAGAAGTCTGTACTTTGGGGGTATAATTTACTGATGGCCACATAACAATGCCCCAAAAGAAACTAGTTACACAGCCTCTTTTCTGTGCATCTGGCTCAAAAAAGGACAATAGGGTTAGGAAATGCAACCCCTCTAAGGCTGGGCAGTGGGACAGCCGGGTTTGTCCTGAACAACTCCCATATTTCGTGCTGAAATAAAGTCCTGCTCAGCAGTGGCTGTAATGCTAGCTTTCCCTTCTGATATGTATTACACCTGGACACATAGTCAGTGAAAGTGCAACACTTTTAAAACCCATCAATTGCAGTGTTACTTAAGTATGCTTCACTTGTGCTGGACATTTCTCATTTTAGCCAAATGGATAAATTGGTATTTTGCTTCTGAAAGCGAACATGAGAAAGATGAATGTGATATGTTTTGTATACTGAAACCTGGTTCTTAACATAGGAACATAAGGATATGATACTGACAGATGAAAAGAAAAAACATGAATGCTATAAAGTAGTCATTTTGGAACCAGAAAAGTAGCCATGCCCTGTATGGAAATATTTTAACTTCAAGTTATTAGGTCTCATTCTTGTGGTTCATAGACTGAAATTAAGTTTGCAAAGCACTATTCAATCTGTTCTTAAAGCAAAAATTTCACATTACCTGATGAATTTTACTAGTACATAACATACTATCTGCTACAAACGGTTTGTAAAAAACACCCGGTCCCTGCTTCTTGTAGCATTTCTCCCTTTTTTCTTCCATTTTTTGATTGATCTGCCTCAAGGAAAACATACACAAAGCAGATTCCAAGGAATTTTTATCTTTGTCGATTTTTTGGAAACTGGCAATCAGTATTTTCTCTGATGGGGCGACATCATCTTGGCTTGACAGCGTGATACTGTCCGAAAGAATCTGCCCAGGCACAGCGGCATGGACCGCATTACATTGGTTGTAAGGCCCACTCTCATCTTTACATTCCAGGTCCATTTCAAAGTAGGAATGATAGTGTTCATCTTCCTTGCAGAGCCGTGCAATGATTGTCCGGTTTTTAAGTGGCTGTTTCAAATGCTCATTGAAAATAAAGTACACATATCGGTTGTCCTCGAAGATGTACAGAAACTCTTGTGTGCTTGAGGAAGGGTACGCTGATTTAATAACTGCAGGATCTGCATATAGTTCAAAAATCTCTCTCCCCTCCCCATTAAAAAGCTGCCGGGTGCTGATTATGATCCCATTGTCACTTAGCCCATTCCCCTTTCCCACAAACATCATTCTACCTTTTTCCAAAGAAGTGATGAGCCCCACCGTGGCTACATTCTCATCGTTACTTGCAACAAATGATTTTTCTCCACTGCCATTCTCATAATAAGTTCTGTTTGAAATGTTCTCAAGCTCCCTAATGGAACAAATGCCTTTAAACAAACTCCCACAAATTATAATTTTTTTCTCCAGCATGTCCAGCAAAAGAATCTTGTTGTAATTGTCAGTCAACTTAGCTTCAGTGCACTGGCTTTCATCAATGGGAGGGGTGCACATTTTGTTATCATTGTACGGTCCAGTTGTTACATCACCTATTGAGGGATATGGTTTCAAGTCTTTTGTAAGTTGATGCAGAAAATTCACGGCTCCTAAATAAACAGTTCCTGTCTCGTAGTTCACTGCCAGATGGCTCAGTTCTGTCCTGCTCGTGAACGAATCAAATATCTTATGCCTTAATCCACAGGTAACACAGGAGTAGCTCAGAACGCTCAGTGCCCAAATCCATACAGCCATTTCTGTGTGGTTCCTGACAATTAAAGATAAAATATACATTATGCATAGCCAAACTACATAATACAAAAACAGCCCCTTTAGAGATAGTATCATTTACAGATTCACTTCTAGGAGAGGCTACCCAGTCAGAAAATACTGAAGTTTTCATAGATCAAGGTGGGCAGCTGTGTTGGTCTGAAGCAACAGAACAAAGTTAGAGTCCAGTGGTACCTTTAAGACCAACAAAGTTTTATTCAAGGTGTGAGCTTTCATGTGCACGCACACTTCGTCAGACAAAGTGTGCGTGCACATGAAAGCTCACACCTTGAATAAAACTTTGTTGGTCTTAAAGGTACCACTGGACTCTAACCCTATTCTGAAGTTTTCATATGTAACGTGTATAAGGAAGATGCTCTTACTTCGTGTAGTAATATTCAATCAGATTTCAGCCCTTTTTACAGAATAAACAACCCTCTTCAATTTCTTTATGATTATGTAAACTACATGCATAATTTTTTTTTTTGTTTAAACCCAGAATATCTCACTTCATTGTCTTGCCTACTTTACACAGTTAGGAACTACTGCACTGGCAACAGCAATCTTTTCATTGTGGCAAGATTTGTAATAGATTGACTCCCTATGAGAACAAACGCATATAGAAAAAGAGAGTTATCCTAGTTTTCCATTTCTGCTAGGTATTTGACATTTAAGGCAGAACTACACAATATGAGATGCACAGGCTTGTGTCCAGCTTGCCTTCTTTCTTCCTCTGTAACATACAGTAAAGTCTTCCTCATCATCATGTTGTCACTGCTCCATGAATTTACGTACACATGACAATATTGGAACATTAGGTTAGTTTTATTATACATTACAAAGGGGAAACTTTTTGCACAGCCTCATTTTTGCCAGAAACACTATTTCTCTCCTAATGCCATTTGCATCCTGCACTGCATGGTTTGTCAGTACTTTGCTTCCAGAATTAAAGCCATACACTGATACCTAAGAACCAGCAGGAGATACATATGTGAACCTGCAGAGGTGTAAAGGTGAATATGATTTTGTTTTTTGCAACCTGTACATGTGCTAGTGACTCCATGGCCATTTTGCAGAGGCAAAACCGAATTTGGCATTGAGCATGCCCTTCTGAACTATTTGCGAGAAAGTCACTTTTGGGCCTTGACCCGCAGTTTGAGAACCACTGGACCACCCCATGTTAAGACTTACTGAGAGTCTGACATGAATGATTCATGATAAAGTATAAACACCTATTAATGTTTCAGGGATGGGAAAAGCTTCTCAGTACTCCCTTTATGGCTGCCCGTTAAACCCTGCCCATCTGAATTGACAGCGAATCAACATTTTCCATTTGTTCTTAACGCACACTACTTTTCTTCAAACTTTCCACATGTTAGCACTGCACCTGGAATTATAAGAAGCCAAGTTCAATGCCAAATATACACACAGTATTTTTGCAGTTACAGGGAAGCAACCAAACCTGCCACTTTGTAGGTTAACTATGCATAATTCCAAACTGGGTTGGGAGAGTCACCCACAAGTTTAGACTTTCACTGACATTTCTACTTCCATCACATGGTTTTATTTACTTATTAAATGGTGCCTAAAACGATTGCAGGAATCCTTCATTAAAATTAATTTCATTAAGAAATAAGAAGTTTTAACCCCCTCCCTTTCTGTTGACCTTAGCTTTGATGTCCACTTCTATGACGCCTTCCTGCATCAATAATTACTTTGAGACACAGCTCTCTCTCTTTTTTGATTAAACTCTACAATCACTAATCCTAATTACTGAACTCCGCAGAACAACATACATTGGAGTACTTGCACCTTCAGTAGCAACCAATACTCTACTAGCTATTAGAGAACACTAATTCAATATTCATGCAGTCTGGCAGATGGTACACAGGGCATCTGGTCCCATATTAAATACAGAAGAAACAAAGTGATGAACGGCAATGGGGGAGGAAGGGGGGAGTGAGGACTGGGTAGACAGACAAGAAGGAGCTAGTCCTATTTCCATAAAATTGAAGTGCCCATATTAACGTGCAGAGCCTCAAAATGGAATTTCATGGATGTTAATTAATTCTGGGATTTCTGAGGACTTTTCTTCTACAGAACGCAACAGGCCACAGAAGTGAATTTTGAAATGATTCCCATAAATAAATAATAAACATTGGAAATGAAAATCTATGTGGATTTTTCAGGAAAGATCTATGAGGAAGAGAGTTGGCAGGGGTCTAGCATACTCAGTTTCAATGTCTAATATAACAGTATTTTTGCAAGCATACTGCTCAACAGGTATTATTTTGGAATGGTCTTCAGAAAAAGCATTACGTTCAAAAGATGTGCAATCTGAATTATTAAAGGAATTAGTATTTACTTTCAGGATTTCTCCAAAATAAAACTAAC